CTCATTCTCATTACTTTTGAATTACCATTGAATCTAGGGAAGCTGTATTTCATCATGCAGAAAACTAAAATGTGAAAATTGATAAAAAAATATAGGTGTGATGAGTATGGAAGTGACATTGAAAACATATGCCCTGTTTTATAGATTTACAAAAGTCATGTCAAACAAACAATAATCTCACAAGCGAATGCCAAACAACCAGAAATGGGGATATTCAGCTACAAACACCAAGTGTTTTGTGATTTAAGCAGGCAGGATGCTATAATGTGGGTAGAAACTGCTCTGGAAACTCAAGTCTTGGACAAAGTTCCAGAAGTAAATGGCATTAATGTCCCTCCATGAAAGGTTACAATCTCTTCTCACCCACATAGATTGAGGGCTTCCATTCCTTCCTCCCACAATGTTATTTAAAGATACTGCCACTTCTTATTCCTTTCCACCTACCTCCTGAAACATCAAATCTCTCCATTTCTTTTTTTTTTTTTTTTTTGGTCCGGTCGTGGGGCCTGAACTCTGGGTCTGGGCACTGTCCCTCAGCTCTTCAGCTCAAGGCTAGCGCTCTACCACTTCAGCCACAGCGCCACTTCCGGCTTTTTTCTTTTTGCTTATGTGGTGCTGAGAAATTGAACCCAGGGCCTTAGGCATGCAAGGCAAGCGCTCTACCACTGAGCCACCTTCCCAGCCCCAAATCTCTCCATTTTTAAACTATAAGGATGCCCTGCCCTCCCTGAAGTCTGATTACATGGTTCTCGTTTAATTTTCAGGAGAGGTAGAGGAATTGGTGGAGGTTCTTCTGTACTAACCACTGTTTCTCACCAGCTACCAGAGCCCTCAGTTTTCTGGGAACAGGTGACCTGACAGTTCTGGTGATAGAGCAACACAAGGCAATGTGGTAGTAAAGAGAAAGTGGGAAGTAGACACAGCATGTGAGTGTGGCACGTATAGATGCAGACTATGTAACCTTGACGCAGGACCACACACCATCCACAGACTGAATCACCACTGCACTTCCCTTGGGAAACAGAAGGGCTTTGTGATGTAATCAGCGTGGCTTGATTCTGCCCTCTGTGAGGTGGACATGACAGGGTCCAGCACTCTCATTATTCATAAGGACCTTGAGCTCTTAGACAGAGGAATGGCTGGTTTCTTTATGCTAATAAGATTTAGACCATGTTGAGTGCTTCATGTGTTCTGATAGATGTTGAATATCCCTTGTATTACTATGTCTTCTTCTTCATAATTATCCTAATTATATGGCAAATGAAAAGGAGTTACTATGGAGTGAGGCTTGAACCTAAAAGAAGCTGCTGCCCGGTAAGGAAATACTCTGACCACAACTGAACTAATTTAAGACTTTGTGTCTTTGTGTACTGGTATTGGGGCTTGAATTCAAGGCCTTGAATTCTTTTATTTTTCTAGTTTCCATTGTGCTTTATAACATTTTTTCCTTTGTTTTGGGGTTTTATGTTTTTTTGTCGGTTGTGGGGCTTGAACTCAGGACCTGGGCACTGTCCCTAAGAGTCTATGCTCAAGATGAGTACTCTATGACTGAGCCACAGCTCAATTCCTAGTTTTTAGGTGGTTATTGGAGGTAAGAGTCTCAAAGCCTTTCCTCAATCTGAGGACTGAAGCTTCAAACCTCAGTCCTCAGATCTCAGCCTCTTGAGTAGCTAAGATTGCAGGCATGATACACTGGCACCCAGCACTTTTTATTTTATTGTTATAAAAGTGACATACAGAGAGGTTATGTTTCACAAAGGCCTTGAATTCTTGCTCATATTTTTAACTCATGACTTAAGTTTTAGTTCCAGTTAAAACTTTTTAGCAGAAGTACTTAGAAAAGAATGAAAGAAAGTAATTCGAAAAGTAAGACAAGCTTTCTCGGAACATTTATTTATCAAGTTGTCTTGGCAATGTAGACTAATTGAAAAGCCAAGAACCTCTCTCTTTGGCATGGGTTTAGAACTATATATCAAAACATCCTCACAGGATGTCAAAAACCCTCCCAAATGTGAGATTTTTCAGTTTTGTAAAGCTGTGTAAGCAATAGTCTTTGGGTTGTCAAAAATACTCTTCTGGGCTGGAAAGGTGGTTTCATGGTAGAGTGCTTGCCTAGTGTGCATGATGCCCTGGTTTTAATTCCTTGGTGCCACATAAACAGAAAAAGCCAGAAGTGGCACTCTGGCTCAAGTGGTAGAGTGCTAGTCTTGAGCAAAAGAAACTCAGGGACAGTGCCCAGGTCCTCAGTACAAGCTCCAGGACTGGCAAAAACAAAAACAAACAAACAAAATCTTCCAAGCTGGGTGCTGGTGGCTCATGACTGTAATCCTAGCTACTCAGGAAACTAAGATCTGAGGATCATGGTACAAAGCCAGCATAAGCAGGAAGGCCTGTGAGACCCTTATCTCCAGAAAAGTGGGAGTGGCACTGTGGCTCAAAGTGGTAGAGCTCTAGCCTTGAACAAAAGAGGGAAAGTGCTCAGGCCCTGAGTTCAAGCCCTACACCCAACAAACTACTTTAAAAAGCCAGAAGTGGCACTGTGGCTCAAGTAATAGAATGGTAGCCTTGAGTACAAAGAGGCTCGGACAGAACTCAGGCCCTGAGATCAAGCCCCACGACCAGCAAAACAACAAACAAATAAACAAGAATCTTATGAACTTTCCTTCCTGGACTGATTTCAAACTATGATCCTTAGATCTCAGCTTCTGGAGTAGCTAGGATTACAGCCATGAGCCACCAGCTCCCAGCAAATATTTCTTTCTGAGATATCCTTAGCTCCCTGCAGAACTTGTTATTAGAGTGGGGACAGGAGGAAAGAGAATAGTCTCAAAGTGAATCAAAGACATTCAGAGAAGAGAATGTTGGGGTATAAAAAAGATGGAGTACAGGGAATCCTCTTTAGATGCCTTTCCTGCTAGGGTTTCTCTACTTTCAGGGCTTTCCTTCACTTTCAAATAAACCACCTTTTATTTAAAGGGTGGGGAAAGGCAAATAGAGTAGAGTGTATAAATATGGGCAGGCACACAAAAAAAGGAAAGGGAGATGTTTATGATCTTTATCTTGGACACCAAAAATGTGAAATGGAGTTCCAGCCTCACATGCTAATACTCTTTTCCCTCTTTTTAGCATCATCGAAAGGTCAGGCAAAGGGCTAGAGCATCAAGAGGTAAAGTTCCAATCTCTCTTCTGACTCCCTTTGGGAAGGCAGGCTTCCCATAGTTCTCTGTGACCTTTGGTGCCAGGATGATATGTGTGCTGTAACCACTAAAGCTTCACAGCTCTGGATGGGAAATCAGAATGGTCAAAAATTGGAAATGTTCCAAGAATTGATGAACTTTGGTAGATGTTCTTAACTTTATCATGTACTAGTTTTATGACCCTGTGGAATTAATCTCTAGCCTTATCTAAAGATAGGTATATTATTAAAAATCCTCATTCATAGGAAATTTAGAGGTTCCTCAAAAGACTAAACATAGAAATTCACTATGACCCAGCCATACCACTATTGACATCTACAAAGATCATTACATGTCGAGATATGGCAAAGATACTGGCACATCCATGTTCACTGCTGCACTATTCACTATAGCCAAGTTAAGGAAACAGCCCAGATGCCCTACAATAGATGAGTGGATCATTAAAATGTGGTGGCTATACACAATTGAGTTTTACTCATTCATTAGAAAGAATAAAGTTATATCACTTGCAGGGAAATGGATGGACCTAGAACAAACCTTGTTAAATGAGGTAAGCCAAGCTCAGAGAGACAAACAGTACTTTTTCTCTCATATGTGGAAACTAGATACAAAATATAACCAGACATACCCTAAACAGGACTTTAGGCATCTATACACAGTCAGATTAAAGGAGGATACCCGTAGGGGAGGAACCTGAAAATGAATGTTCAAAATACTATTTATCAAAACAAATTCCAGGAAATGGAAACATGGGAACATTGTGGGGTTTTTTTTGGTTATTGTTGTTGGTGTTCATTTGTTCTTTTGTTACTTTTCTTCATGCTGTTCAGTATACACGAGTTACCTATGTAACTGTGGGAAAATGACTTATGAAATAGTAAGCCTTCTGTACAACATCTTAATAATAACAAAAATTATATTAAAATCCTCACTCATGAAATTGGGTCAGGGACAGCATGTTGTAACTGGTATATACAAACATGCCTTAGAACATTGGCTCTTATATTTTCAGTGTCCTCTCACTAAAGGCCTAAATGTTTAGCTACCTATAGAATGTCCCTGAAATATTCCTATAATGCTGTGTCTTGTTCCTCAGCTAAGAGACTTATCCAAGAAGGTGAGACGCCATGGGAGCTGCTGTCTGTCATGAAAAGGTGATTTCTTACCCTTTGCAGCCAGGTCCATGAAGAATTCTTGGTCTGGCATGGGGCAGGGATGAGGAGAGGGATAATGCCTGGGAAGAGACATACATGAAGGGAGTCTACTTGACTGGCTGAAAGGTTGCCCAGACAGAGTGAAGTTCAGGTGTCTCAGGAGGGAAAAGCAGGTCACCCAATTCTACTCTGTGCTAGGGTCACAATAGCTCTGTAATTCAGGATTCAACTAGTGTATCATTCACAAAAGAAATTATATGGGTTGAACTCAAATTATGCAGCCAAGAGAATGGATTCTGAATAAAGAAGTCATCAGGGTCAGCTTCTCTTTACAGCTAGCTATGCTAGGGCAGAGTCCCAAGGCTGAACTTTTCTCACATTGGCTTCTGTGATCTGACTTCAGGGAGGTCACTTCCTGGGCCTTACACTTTCAGAGGACAGTCTGCCATCTTATTCTTAAGGTTTCTTAATATAATGGGTATAGTAGCATGAATATCTGCTACTTCTCAGAATGAGGAGCTCCTACAAGGAGCTCATTTTCCACAGTGTAGGCCTAGAGAACCTGTAGGACTGAGAATGGTGCAGTATCCCCAGCCCCACACTTCCAAGGAGGCAGAATCCTCTATTGTTAACATGCTTCTCTTCCCAGCCAGGGCTGGCTTCCTCAAGAGAAAAGCGTGCGGAAGCTCCTGTGTGCAGATCCCCACTGCAAAATCTGCAATACTGCAGCTCTGGAGATTCAGGAGTTGCTGAAGGCTGACACCAACCAATTCTCCACCACTTTACTGGGGCCATCTGATATAAAGATGTTGCCCAGGTCAAACATGTCTTTTGAGCAGAATCTGGAGCTTCATTCCCAGAACTCTGGAGATATTTCACTGGCAACTGTAACCCCAAGACAAACAGAACTAACAGAACATTTAGCTCAGCCAACCAATGTAGTCAGCATCCAAGAATACTGGGCTGATCATCTCCAACTAGTGCAGGACATTCAGTTGCCAGAGACGTCCCTGGACTCAGAGATGGTGGCTTCTTCAAGATTTGAGGGAACTATGATTACAGTGAATGAGCAGGAGATACAGATCACTGCTAACTGTGCCCAGGGGAACAAACAACACTATCGTCTAAAGGCCCAAGACTCTTTTCTGCCATTGAACTCAAAGATCACTAAACAGACACATCCTACAGCCTTGCACATAGGTTTATTCCTCCCTACCCACCTGGCATTCCTGTGTCCTGAAGTACTGAGGCTTCTCGAAGTACATGTAAAAAAATGGATCCACTTCCAGAAGTGGGGACTCCCCAGACGTGTGGAAAATTCTCTAAGGGAGCTTATGCCAGATCCAACTTTGTTTTGCCTATCTAGAAAAAACCTACAGACTTGCTCCTTCCCAAGTAGTACTTCTAAAGTCACTGCTCACATAATTGGTACCATACCCTACCAGTCCTGGCATTCATGTTTGGCTTATCAGCACACACAATCCCTCTGGGTTTCTGAGTGGTCTGTTACAAGCCTAGGGAAAAGAGTCCAACAAAACCAGAATTGTAAGGTACACCCCCTGCCCTGTAGAGCAGTGGCAGTAATAAGTGGCCACCGTCCACTGCCTAAAAGACAGACTAATGACTCAAGGAGCAGCGTGTGGCAAAGATACCACCAGCTATTCTGTGGCCTACCTTCTCTACACAGTGAGTCCCTGGTTGCCATTTTCTTAGGCCCTCAACGACTCTCCAAAAATATGTCCAAGCTGTCTTTGAAGGATCTTCATCTCTTCAAAGACCTCTCCTACCTCCCCTTGCTGAGTCAGCCTGGCCTTGTGTTAGCTCAAGTCACCCCCTCCCCACCTTGTCCAAATGGGGAGTATCCAACCCAGCATCAGGAGGCTCTGATCACCGTCCCAATTCTGACTCTGGCTGAGTGTGAAGCCTTAGAATGGCACCTGCTGCAGAGGCAGCTCCAGCTCCAGTGGGGCCTGCCAGCTGCCTTGCATCCATCTCAGCATGCCCAGAGCCCCGTGCGGTGTGAACTGCATAACAAAGTCCAGTCCTGTGAGATTGTGAAAGCTTCCTGGTCAGGGAAGCCCTTCTCAATCCTCACCAGAGAACTCCACTTCTTCCCAGAGCATGCCCACAAGCTACTGGGATTCCACCTCCAGAAACACTTGATGCACCTTCGCTGGGGCCTGCCTGAGAAGATACAGAAGTCCATCCAGTTGGTTCATTCCTCCACTGGCCAGCAGCCCCTGTCCTGGAGCAACAAAGCCCTACCCAACATGAGCATCTCCAAGCCTGGGGCCCCAGAGGCTAAAGGAGATGGTTGTCTCTTCTCCCCCATGATTTCACAAGTGTCTGTCCCCATGCCACATTTTTTTGTCCAAGCTCAGGCAATGTTGCAAAGCCACATTGATTCCAAATGTGGGCAGATTCACCAGGGCAAGGTCCCTGATCTTGTATACAGTTCCTGGGAATGCAGAATTCCTGGGGTGCTAGCAATGGCTCCCTTCGCTGACATGCTACAAGGGCAGCCTCTGGAGCTGCAGGCAGCAAGTGAACCTGATCTATATCACAAAGTGATGCCCTGTGAGCCAATGGCCCTTGGCCAGCAGCCAGAGGCCTTACTAGGTAGTGTTATTGAACACCATAAGCTTCCCCAAGCCCAGTCTGAGGAGACCATTGAAAAGCAGACCTTACCAAGTGCTGCCACAGAACACCAAGAACTGCTCCCAGCCCTGTCTGAGGAAACCATTGAGAAGCAGGCCTCACTGAATTCTGCCATCGAATACCACGAACTGCCCCAAGCCCTGTCTGAAGAAACCATTGAGAAACAGGCATTACCAACTGTTGGCACAGAACACCAGGAACTGCTCCAAGCCTTGTTGGAAGAAACCATTGAGAAGCAGGCCTTACCAAGCGCTGCCACTGAATTCCATGAACTGTTCCAAGCCCTACCTGAAGAAAACATTGAGAAGCAGGCCTTACCAGGTGCTGCCACTGAACACCAAAAGCGTCCCCAAGCTCTATCTGATGAAACCATTGAGAAACTGGAGACAACTTTACGGCATAAGTATCTGGCCTTCCTGTCAGGCCTCCCTGCTCTTTACTCTGTGGCTCTCTCTAGAGTTACATCACCAATAGCCACTAACCAATCTGTTATCACAGAGATGGTGTCTAAGTCTATTAAGATCCCACAGGAGCCTCTGGTTCAGATGCTCTCCCTTGAAGCCTCAGTCAAGAGCCCTGGACCATGCTTTCAAGATGATAACAAACCTTGTGAAGTCACTGGAGAAAAATCCCAGCCTGAACTACAGGTGGAAGCCGAAACAGAAAGGGCACCTCCCAAGAAGCAGGCACTTTCTGTCAGCCCTTGCTTACTCAATACACATATGCTTGCTAAATTAAATTTCCACCTGAAGAAAAAGGTCCTAGAGATACAACTGGGAATTCCTGAAGGTGCAAGAAAGTCCAGGAAACCAAATGTAGCAGTTCCAGAGTACAAATGCTCACAGGAGTGTCTTCAGAGTAAGAAACACCAAGGAAACACAGTGCTCCAGGAACTACCTCTAGACCCTCCTCCTGCTTCAAAGTGGCTCTGCCCCAAAGAAAAGCAGGCCACTGAGCAGGCCACTGAGCTAGAGGCAATACAGCATAACCAAAAGCACCCTGGTCTGAAAGCCGTGCCCTATGGTTCTGCCCCCTGGGTCTCCGAGATCTCTCAACCTAGTAGGGACATGACTGAGGCTCAGGTGCTTTGTGTTCAAGTTCAGACCAATGTGAGCCACCCCAGCCTGGAGAAACCCCGAAGTCCTGAGCCCCAAAGCCCTGGGAAAAGCAAGGACTTAGCCCATGTGTCCATGCTGGCAAGAAAGAGAGAGGACCACCCAGAGAAGCTCGAGGCAGCAGGAGACCCTGGAGGAGGAGATGCAGGGTTTGAGCTCTCCTCAGCCACTGAGGACAGACCCCATGCCGAAGTCCAGAGGCCAGAGGGGATACTCCTGAACAAGATACCCCAAGGCTCATGGCGGTGGAAATACAACTTTCATCCTGTGAATCCCTGCCAACACAGCTCCCAGAGTCACCCACAGCCAGAGTCAATTCCCAGAGGAAGAGAATCTGCGCATGACTTGCCTCACAGACTAAGCAAGTCAAATGGCATCCTCTCACCTGAAAGGACCCCCAACAACGTGCAGCCTGTGGCAGCCCACGCTCCCCAGGGCCAGCCTTTCCTGGACCAACCAATTCAGGATCAGCTTTTGCAGAGCCCAGCTTGCAAAGGTCAGGTTTTGAAGGGGCTCATGAGGCCGGCCCCTGCTCACAGGGAGACCAGATTTGCAGACACTGGCCTGAGAAGTAAGATAAAATCTTTTCTATACCGTATGAGCCCTGAGATGAAAGGCAAAGGGCACCTGGAATCCACATCCTGTACAGCTGGCAAGGAAGCCAAACCCAGAATGGAAAATGTCCTAAGCAGCCTGGCTCATGCCCCAAGTCCCATGAAGAGAACCAAGACAAAGAAGCCAATGGAGCACCCCAAGGTCCAGCCTGATCCTACTGAGAGCCCAGTGGGCACAGCCTCCTTAGCAGGTCCTCCTTCCCCAGGCAATAAGCTTCGCCTGCGCTCCAGACCACAAGGCTCTGCCCCAGTACTGGGCCAACCCCTCCACTGCCCTCGACACTGCCCTCAAGTGGCTTATGCCACCCAACCAGGGAATACACCTTAGGTCCCAATTCTTACCTCAGAAATATTGCCTCAAGAAGAAACTTTGTGCAATAACAAAGCAATTCTAGGCTCCCCAACCTCTACATCCCTTGAAGTGTAATACTGTTGTCATTTCCATTAATAAACAGGTGGGGCAGAATGACACCCCAAATACACTCTAGATCTCTAAGTACAGCGTCATCTGTCTGATCCTTGCTCTGCTGCACTTTGTTAAGGGAAGGGATGAAAAAGTTTTCAAGTCTGTCCCATCTAAGGAAGGAATTTAGTCTCCATTGAAATCAATCATTTTAGTATCATACAGTAAGCTTTTTGATGGGTTGTTTTTTATGTTTATCAATAGCACATACCTAATATGATAAATGTCAAAACTGAATGACAGAATCTCCCTTGTTTGATCCCTGTTATTGGTAATAACTAGAGAGCTCACATGAGAGGCTGCTATAATCCTGTTGATTCTGTGTCCACTGCCTGATCTACCAGAAGTGCCTTCTAGAATTCTGATCACGTAGAAAATGGAGGACTCCCACCTACCCGAAGAAGGTGGGAGAGCAGATAGAGGTCTGTGTACTTGGTTTGAAAACTGTCATAATCTGACAAAGCACAACTAAAGATAAAAGTCAGTTTGCTTGGCACTCAAATGAACCATGAAGTCAACCCCAAGGCTCAAGTGTTTGAGGGATGTGAATGAGTCAACTGTGAACTTGGGTCCACTTGCACTTACACTGTTGAAGGGAAGTTAAGTCTTGAAGTTTATTGGGAAGAACTAAATACTAGAAGCTTTCCAGACATATTTGAGTTCCACTGTGTCTTATTTCAACACCTCTAAACCTGGAGTGGTTCTCTACTGCTCTTTCTTATACTATCCTTGCTTCTGAGATACTTTCTTGTGTTGGTGCTGGGCTTGAATTCAGGGCTTTTTCCATTCAAGACTGGTGTTCTATCACTTGAGCCACAGTTCCACTTCTCTGAGCTACTTTCATGGGAAGTAATGGTGCTGAACTCAGCCAAATCCCCTCACAGGATCTTATAATAACTTCTCCTTAGAGACAGTACTCTCATCCAACAAGAACTGTACACATAAATGTGACAGCTCCTGTCTGTTATCATCTAATCTCTTCATTATACTCTACTGCATTTCAAAATCATCAAGGTGATTTTGTTCAAAGAAGTACTTTAAGGATTTTGGAAAAGGTCTTGTTTCTACATTAGTCACAAAAAGCAAATAGTGTGTGTGTGTGTGTGTGTGTGTGTGTGTGTGTGTGTGTGTGTGTGTGTAGCATTATATAGGGGCCTCACCTCTGGATCTATCAGTCTTCTTTGGCTTTTTTTTTTCTCAAGTCTGGTGTTCTATCACTTGAGCCATATATTACTTCTGACTCTTTGTTATTTGAAGATGCGTCTCACAGACTTTTCTACCAGGCTAGCTTTGAAATGTGATCCTCAGCATTCAGCCTAGGATTACAGGCATGAGCCCCAGCACTTGACTAAAATATGTAGAATTTAAGGCCATATATGACTCTATAACCAGATCAAACTCCTGGCTCCAGTGTGTGTCTTTCTGGGAATGATAATGTTTTGAGATTTCTGGTAATATCTATCACTAATGAAAGTATGATGTGTAATTCTCTCAAATTTTTAAAATAGACAAGAATGAGATGGAAAGCAACTGCTAAGAAATGTAAGCCTCTAAACTAGGTAGTATCTAAAATTTCCCTCACAGACTAAAGTGTCTCCTATAGACCTGTTTAGAAAATTTCTCAGCTTGTGGTACCAAAACATTCCTACAACTCTTTCCTGCTATCTGCGCAATGTAGTCTGTTCAATGTTGTAAGTGGGTGATCCACCACCAAAAGCAGCCTCAGTAACCCAGACACACAGTTGGACATCTTTATAGGCATCCAATTCCTTGAACTTTTGAGGAGAACGCACCTGTCTTCTCTAATTACGTGGGTTAGGGCAGGAATTGGTCTCCACAGAGCAAAGATTGGAATCCCTAACTCCTGAAGGAAACCATGGCAGAACTGTATAGCTCATCATAAAGTAAAAGATTTGGGTTATTCTCTTCTCTTTGGAAGGAAACTTCTGACTGGCAAGACCAGGGTATAAATTTAAGATAGATAAATAAACATGAACAAAGGGCAAGAAACATTAAAAAATGCTGCACAAGGAAAATATTTGAGTATTTTTTATAGTTTTTAGGTCAAGGTCACAATAATAAAATGTGCAAAATAATCATCAGGGTTAGAATCCTAGCTCTGACTGTTGAAAAGTGACCTAACATTTCCAACCTCCAGTTTGTTTATAAGGGACAGGGGACAACTATATATACATAACCCCAACCTAAAAATTGTTAATACATTGGTGGTTTCCAACAGCTGAGAAAAAATACTCTATCTTCCTCCAAATACAATACAAATTAATTCAAAATTTCTGACACCCTCCTATCAGTGTCAAGCAATAATACATTCACTTTTTTGCTCAGTGCATACATCAAAACAGTCATTAGGTTTTAATCTTAACTCTTCACTTGGCAACTTCTCTCTTGTTCTTACTGACTCTCCTTATTTTATCTTTAGCTTTCCTTAGTGATTAAAATAGTATCTTGGGGTCTAGGACAGTGACCGCTATAGCCCATAGTAATATTAATATTAGCTGAATATAAACTCTAGGTTACAAAAAAGACAATTGCATTGGTTTAATAAGTGCTATAGCCATCAGCTTTTCAGCTGATGAGAAGAATTCCAGAAAGTTCACAGTTAAAATGGCTGTCTAAAGCATCTTGTATTCATCAATTAACAAGACATAGGCCTTTCCATTTGGCATTCTTTATCTCATGCCTTAGATACTCTCCTAGGCCCAAACTGTCTAAAGAATATACACATTTGAAGCCCCATAGATATATAGCTCCAACCACAAAAATGAACTCCTAACCTTTGCTCCAAACCCATTCAATCACACACCAAATTTGTCCCAAACCACAGTATTTCTCACATGACTTAATGGCAGCCTATATATTTTTTTAATTTCAGCCTATTTTTAAGTAGTTCATAGACAGTGCCATCCATGAGTTTCCCCCCTAACACATCATACTCAGTAATTCTTCTTGTCTGTACCTTAGAAACTGTCTCTAGAGCACTTCTTATGCCCTCTACTATCATTACAGAGGTAGCATCATAACTAATTTTCTGTTTTATCATGAAACCATACTCCCAATGAAGAAGCATGATAATCTTCAGCAAGAATATTGGCTATGATGGGTGACACTGTTGGCAGAAACTTTGCATTCATATACTCTTTTGTAGAATGGGAACTTCTTTGTATAACCACTTAAGATAATAAATTTAAAACTAAGGAAAAGAATATTGGCTACATTAGATAGATAATAGAATTAAAACTATGATACCAGATAAAAATCACCATGACTATGAATTAAAGAAGGAGGACTAAACCTTGGGATACTTCAACTTTAAGAAATTAGAAAATAGTCTGCTAAGTTTAAAGTCTTAAGCTCAAATCCCAGTACAAAAAAAAAGAAATTGTAAAATAAAGGAGGAAGCAATAAGCAGTGTGGCAAGAAACCTAGCATAGTACAGTATACTAGAAGTCAAGAGAGGATTTCACAGAGAAAGTAATTCATTGTATTCAATGGTCCATATGCTAAAAATTTGGTCCCCAGGCTGTGGTGCTATTGGGAAAAGTTGGTACACTAAAGAGGTGAAGCTTAGTAAAGGAAGTTAGGTCACGGAAGCTTTCACTAGAGACAGATATTGACAGCAACACCTTCCTGATTCTTCTATCTTTGTCTTCCTGGTCACTATGAATGAGGTGAGCAGCCTTGCGTGATCACGTACTGCAGCCTGTGATATACTGACTCATCACTGACCCAAATGCAACAGACTCCACCAACCATGATCTGAAATCTCTGAGATGAAAGAAATCATTTCCTTTATGTGCTGATCATTATGAGTATTTTGACAAAGGAGTAAAACTGACATAAAGAGCTAAGTATCTACCTCGACCGGTTAACCTTACATAAACGTACACACATATTGCTAATGGTAACATTAGATGGGGGAAAAGGGTAGCATTGAAGAGAAAACTTTGAGACAGGAGAAGAAAGGGTTTCCCCACATATAAATGTCAGCAAAGACAATGAAGAAATTGTGGCTAAGGAGGGAGAGGGAAATGAAAAACCAAAGCAAGGACTTGAGGTTGAAAGATTCTAAAACTTACCATGGAAGGTTTCTATTAGGACCTTGGTAGTTGGTAACAGTGTGAAACTCAAGAACGCATAAAAAGTGGTTGAAGTGGCTAATTACTGTGTGAAGCAGGTACTTTGGGAAATCTGGAGCCTCAGGAGAGATCCCCAGGAAAAAAACCTCTGAATGCAAGAAGTCTGAGAGAGTATGCACCTCAGCTGATAATGGTACAGGAGAAAGAGAGGGATGGGCTTAGTTTCTAAGAAAATCCAGGAACAGCCACTATCCCATCGAGCCAGGGAGTAGAGTCAGGACTTGCTTCATCTGACAGGAACCCACTATTTAGCACAGTGTGTACACCACCAGCAGGATGCAGAAAGCTCAGATGGGAAGAAGCATGGGTGGGTCCCTCCTCTGAGGGTGGTTGTGTGCACAAAGATGGGCATCCAGCCCTACTTGGTCCCCAGGGAAGAGAGACATGAGGTCTGGGCCTGCTGAGCCAACAATCTCCAGGTGTTTTCCTGAAGCATCTTCATAGGGCAAAGGAGGTCATGTGACAGGCACATCCTCTCTGCATGCTGGAAGTTAGGCAGAGAGCCCCAGAGCTGGGAGACCAGAAGGGACCCCACGAATGAAGGGAATTGACTAGGAAGGGTCACAGTAGCCTCAAGTGGGAAGCTGGGTTAGTGTGCACACATCCTGGTTTAGGGTGGAGCCGATCCTTCCCATGGCCCCCACAGGCTCCTGACTGTCATATACCCACATGGGCTCGTGTAGCTCACCAAAGTCCCTCAGTGAAATG